ATGAACACATTGCCCTTAATCCTTTGATTCAGAAAGTTACAAATATGGACATGGGAAGTTCTTCTTCTGATTCACCCTCGAACTACGAACAAACTGCCCTCAATCCTTTGATTCAGAAAGTTGCAAATATGAACATGGGAAGTTCTTCTTCACAATCCTCTGTATGGGATAGGGCTGTGGCTTCTTCTTATTCTGGGGCTTCTGACTGGGCAAGCTGGTCGGAACCTGAGGCCTGTGATTTACGGGAGCGAATTAACCATCCCTTTGTCGAGTTCACTGAAAAACACAAAAAAAAAAAAAAAAAAAAAAAAATCATGAAAATAATGAGGAAAAACTTTTTATCTTTAAATTACACACATAATAAAATATCACATATTAATTAAATAATAAAAAAATTTCATAATATTTTTTATGTTATTTATTTTTTATTTATTTTTTTTATGATTCTTAGCATTATTCCGGTGGTGGGGTACTGGCGGTGGCTTGATATGGAAAGGTGAGGAAGATAAGTGAGACAGAAGGAGGAAGGTACCATCGTGCGCTCAAACAAGGCCAAACTGTGCAAACATTTCTGCCAAAGAAATTGGATCTATGTTTCTGATTTGGAACAGTAAGTTAAATTGAAGAACAAACATGTCACACTTAGAATAACCGTTCAAAATACCATAGTTCAGAGTTTCAATTTGGGTAAAAACTACTTGTAAAAAAAAAAAGGCATAGATTTAACTCTACTCTTTTTGTTTTGTTTTATTTTGTTTTTATCATAACTTTAATCTTTTTGTTTCTTTTGTTTTCTTCACAAATCTCTCCTTGAAAGAAAAATAAAAAAATCATAAATTAAAAGAGGAGTAATTAGTTGAGAGAGTATAAGAAATATATCTGCAAATTCCTGCAAAAATGCACTGAAAAGTGCAGCCCTCCTCCATAATGGGATCTTTGGGCTTAACCAAAGTTACACACAGAACACTACAAACAAGGGATAACTAAATAATTACAGAGTAAAAAGTGAGAAACTAAATCTGGGGAGCCCAATGGCCAAGCCAGATGAATCCCGTTTGATTGCTCGTAGATAAGATAAATCCACAAAATTGCAGAAGTAAGATGAATCCCATTGATACCAAGCAAGTTAGGTAATTGGGGCGATCTGATCTTGTTGAGACAAGTGAGGAGCATGCCTAAGTACCATCCATGGATTGGTGTTAGGAGGAAGAAGCATAGATCTGCACAAAGGGCAAGTGACCCTACCTTCATCCATCCATCTATCCAAGCAATCTCTGTGAAACACATGACTGCAGTTGCACAGATCCCTCATCTCATGCCGCCTATTAATGCAATCCCAACACACTGCACAGCTCACGTCCTTCTCCACAGCTTCATCCTTACCATCTTCTCTTCTTCTCTCCAGGAAATTGCCGAACTGTATTACAGGTATCTGTTTCTTGATGAATGCTGTTACCAGGGGAACTGGGACTGGGACCGGGACTAGTGATGACCAATCCAACATGAGCACATAATTGTTGTTGTTGGCTGTGGCTGTGGTGGTATTGCTAAGCTCCCCTGAATAAAAGTTCTCTTCTTGTGGTTTAGAGAGACCCAGCCGAGTGAGTATCACAATAAACATGTATTTGAGTTGGCTTAGCATGTTTACCAGCAATCTCACAGAAGTTATGGCCTTTGACATCTTTATGGCACCACAAAAGAGAAATCCACGGATAAACGACGCACAACCGAGGTAATAATTTAGGTTTTGTTTTTCAGCAATGTGTTGTATGATGAAAATTTTTCCATAAAAATAATTATGAAAATTTTGTGATTCTTGAATTACACTTAGGGTTGATTTAACATAAATTAAATAATATAAAAAGTTAAAAAATTACTGTCCTATTTAAGTTACATTATTTTATTTAAATCACATCACATCTCTAACACATCACATCAAACCCGATCCAAACCCAACCCATATAAGCCAATAAGATAAAAAATGTACTTTTTTTGAACATCCCAAACCAATCCTTAAAATAAAACGCCACGCAGTAATCAAGATAATTTAAGAATCATAACTCTTTCATGAAAAAGATTTCATGATCACTAAGGTGCTATTTGGTAACACTTACGTTTTCAGTTTTCTGTTTATATTTACAAAAATTTTAAAAACTCAAATAAAAACTTATTTGGTAAAACATCATGTTCAAGATCAAAGGCAAGACTGAGTACCATCAATGGATTGGTGTTAGGAGGAAGAAGCATAGATCTGCACAAAGGGCAAGTGACCCTACCTTCATCCACCCATCTATCCAAGCAATCTCTGTGAAACACATGACTGCAGTTGCACAGATCTCTCATCTCATGCCGCCTATTAATGCAATCCCAACACACTGCACAGCTCACGTCCTTCTCCACAGCTTCATCCTTACCATCTTCTCTTCTTCTCTCCAGGAAATTGCCGAACTGTATTACAGGTATCTGTTTCTTGATGAATGCTGTTACCAGGGGAACTGGGACTGGGACCGGGACTAGTGATGACCAATCCAACATGAGCACATAATTGTTGTTGTTGGCTGTGGCTGTGGTGGTATTGCTAAGCTCCCCTGAATAAAAGTTCTCTTCTTGTGGTTTAGAGAGACCCAGCCGAGTGAGTATCACAATAAACATGTATTTGAGTTGGCTTAGCATGTTTACCAGCAATCTCACAGAAGTTATGGCCTTTGACATCTTTATGGCACCACAAAAGAGAAATCCACGGATAAACGACGCACAACCGAGGTAATAATTTAGGCTTTGTTTTTCAGCAATGTGTTGTATGATGAAAATTTTTTCATAAAAATAATTATAAAAATTTTGTGATTCTTGAATTACATTTAGGGTTGATTTGACATAAATTAAATAATATAAAAAGTTAAAAAATTACTGTCCTATTTAAGTCACATTATTTTATTTAAATCACATCTCTAACACATCACATCAAACCCGATCCAAACCGAACCCATATAAGCCAATAAGATAAAAAATGTACTTTTTTTGAACATCCCAAACCAATCCTTAAAATAAAGTGCCACGCAGTAATCAAGATAATTTAAGAATTATAACTCTTTCATGAAAAAAATTTCATGATCACTAAGGCTTGGTTTGGGAAGTGGGTTGGCTTTTTGGCTTTTTGACTTTTTTGGCTATTTTAGCCTGCCACCATCACCCACCACCAGTTACCCACCATCCACCGTCACCACTTTCCACCACCGTCTTTTGCCGTCACTTGCCACCACTTGCTATTTTTCACTCTTTTTTATATTTTTTAAATTTTTTAAATATTTTGTCAATTACCAAACGCGTTTGTAGTTTATGTTTTTTTTTAAAAATAAACAAAAATCAGTTTATAAAATTTTTGTAAATATAAACTGAAAACGTAAACGTTACCAAACACACCCTAACTTTTTTTGTTTTTGTTTTTATATTCATGTCTCTTTAGTTGCCAGGTTGCTACGTCTTGTTTTGTTTTCTAAATCCTAAATTTAGGGTTGATTAAGGAATTCATGAAATTCGTAATCCGATCCAGTTTAATCCAATTTGATAAGTTTAGATTGGTTTTTTGAATTTGTAGTTCAGTTCTGATTTGAAGAATTAAAAATCCGTAGTCCACGGATTGGTTCCGGATTGGAACCGATCTGAACTGTATACAAATAGTCTATATTTTTTTATACATTCCCTCTCAAAGTATCTTCTCTTATTCTATATAAAACATAAACTCAAATCTAAACCTATATAATATCTTCTTTTATGATTTTTGTTTGTTAGTTTTTAGTTTTAATTTGTAATGGTCTAAATATTTATGGTGAAACAAGTTTTCTTATGATTGTTTAAATTCTAGAACAGTATGTAGTTATTATAGAAAAATATGTTGCTATTATAGAACTAATATAGCGTTATGTTTATACTTTTACGAAATTAAAGTGTTATATATATATATATTATTTAATTATGTGGATTCGTAATCCTAAACCGATCCAATCCGTATTTAAATAAATTGGTTCAAATTGATTTCATAATTTAAACGAATAAGATTTGTTCCAATTTTTTAAAAATTATAGATAACGATTTGATTTTAATTTACCTCAATCCAATCTAATTTGAACTAGGAAAATGAATTGTGGCCCTAAAAACAGTGGCCCTAATGGCCCTAATTTCCTTTTTGGGATAAGTCTGTTTTTTTTTTCTTTTTTTTTTCTGCCTTGTTTTTTTTTTTTTTGCCTTATATGGAAATTTAGGGCCATTAGGGCCACTAAATTTCGAGCTACCAACCAAAACCGTTTGAACTATGCTCACCTTACTTAAATTATCAACTTCAAAGTCTTTTTTTTTGAATTTTGTTAACTTCTCATTGGAGTAGGGGTTGAGAGTGGGTGTGACAGGACGCATGCTGTCTCACTCAGTATGGCTTATGTTAATTATATTTTAATAATTTGAGTAGTTTATATTATAAAATTTATCAAATATATTATTCTTATAAAATATGATATTAATTGGACAAATATAATTACATGTTCAAGATAAATAATAATTTTAAAAAATTATTAAAATCATATTAATCATTTATTTTTTTAACATAAATGTAATTTTGTTATAAGTTACAAATGTCTATTTAATTGAAATATTTTCATGAATGATCTACTCAACGAACTCTACACGATAAACATTTTGAATTATTAAAACAAATTCAAAACATGCATTTACGGACTCACAACACGGTGCTATGCTTATAAGGCACATCACCAATCTCATTCCCTTGGAGGAGATGTTAAAGAAGTTTTAAAACATGGGGGAAGATTCCCTCTTGTCCTCTCTATAATTTGGATTAGATTAGATGGTATTGTTTGAGTATGTGAAATTGATTATGAGTTCCGTTTTAATAATTTAAACTGTTTATTATATTGGGTATTTTGTGAATTGTACTAAAAAAAAATAAGATCGATTTGATAATCATAAGTTATTTAATTTATCACGTTTGTCATCAAAAAAAAATATGAAAATTATATTTAAAAAAAATAAATCATCTATTATTTTGGTGACAAACGCGATAAATTGTATAGACTACGATTATTGGATCAATTTAATTTTTGTGTGAATAATATACATGAAATGTCCGATAAAATGAATAATTCGAATTATTGAAATGAGACCATAGTGGATCCCACGAGCCCAAACAATATCTTCCAATATAGAACTTCCTCTTTAAAATACCATAATTTTTTTAGGAATTAAATCCTCTCCGGTTAAGATATCTAATTAGATGGTCCAATTGAATCCACTATGGGCTCATTTTGGATGCACTTCAATAATTTAGACGATTCACTTTGTAAAGCTTTCCGAAAAAATCATGCATATGAAAAAATAAATATATCAGACATTGAGAGCTACTCAATCGAATTGCATTTGTCTAAAAAATAATTAATAGACATTGGGAGTGTAATCAAACACTTAATCAGATCACATTTGTCTGGAAATAACTAACGGACTACTTTCAAAATTATGTTATCTGTTAATTAATGTTCAAACAATTGTTTTTTGATCAAGTGGCTCCCAATATCCGTTCGACTTAGCATGCATATGAAAAATTAAATATATCAGACATTGAGAGCTACTCAATCGAATTGCATTTGTCTAAAAAATAATTAATAGACATTGGGAGTGTAATCAAACACTTAATCAGGACTACTTTCAAAATTATGTTATCTGTTAATTAATGTTCAAACAATTGTTTTTTGATCAAGTGGCTCCCAATATCCGTTCGACTTAGCATGCATATGAAAAATTAAATATATCAGACATTGAGAGCTACTCAATTGAATTGCATTTGTCTAAAAAATAATTAATAGACATTGGGAGTGTAATCAAACACTTAATCAGATCACATTTGTCTGGAAATAACTAACGGACTACTTTCAAAATTATGTTATCTGTTAATTAATGTTCAAACAATTGTGTTTTGATCGAGTGGCTCCCAATATCCGTTCGGCTTAGTTTTTTATAAAATAAACAGTTTGAATTATCGAAACGAATCCAAAATAAATCCAAAGTGGTTTGGGTAGATGGACCAATTGAATATCCCAACTGGAGATAATCAAACTCCATTTTTTTTTCCAGACCTTTCTTAGTATGTGTTTTAAGTATAATCAATTTTTTATTTATCAAATTCAAATTTTAAAAATAATAATAATATTGTGTATACATGTCTTTCATGAAGTTCTTGGTCCTGTTTTGTGAATTTTTTTTTAGAATCAAAATTTGATAATCAAAAAATAAAAATTTAAAGTACCACTTTCATAATTTTTAAATAATCAACTTTTTTTAGTTTATTTAAATTATTTTTATAATAAATTATAAATAAAGATTATATAAAATAATCTGATATAAATATTCTGATGTAATCACATTTGTGATCAATCCATCCACGACTTCTATACGCAACAACTTGTCTGACTTCAATAATGTCACCCTTTTGTGTTTTTTTTAAAGTTGGAGAGGAAATTAGGATGGTAGAGGTGATATAGATGGAGGTTGGAGAGGGGATTGGGATGGAGGTTGGGGAGATGGTATTAGAAAAATAGTGAGGGGATTAGAAATTTTTTTATTTTTTTATTTGTTATATATTGGGAATTTTTTTATAAATATTAATATTTAATATTTTTTATTTGATTTATTATTTTATATAAAAATAATTTAACAATTCTTACAGTAATAATTATCATCAAAACAAACATAATTTTACTTAATCCCCTTACTAATAATCTCCTCACTATAAATATCCTTAATTCCTACTTTGAAAACAAACGTGCCTTAACGTTGCATCCACGACTTCTGTACCCAACGACTTGTCTGACTTCAATAATGTCGCCCTTTTGGTTCTAGAAACACAAAACCATCAATATCACCTTAGGCTCACTCTACAAAATTATAGGGTAGTGTTAGGCCTCATTTAATATATCAACAATGATTGAAAGAATTAATTTTAATGCTTTAATGCAACATTAAAGACATGATAATAAGTAAAAAAAAAAAATAAAAATAAATTAAGACTAAAATATCACATCACTATAGGTAGAGTCCATTCCCAATTCATTAGAATTAGCTTTAAAGTTTAAGAATCGTAGTTCTAAAGCATTTTTCTTTAGTATATAATACTTTTAGTTTAAAAATCACAAAAAAATTAAAAAATTAAAAAATTTATAATCTATATTAAAAAGTTAAAAATTTTCTTTTCTTTTCTTTTCTTTTCTTTTTTACTTTTTGCACAATTTTTTTTTTATAAAAAAACTAAAAATTCATTCCAAATATACTAATTTTTTTAACTCATATTTTAGTTAAAAAATAAAAACTTACCAAAATAGCATGTTTCCAAACGAGGTCTTAAAACACATATAAGTAGTGTTTTAATTTGACTTAAGCTTCTCTTAGGCCTCGTTTGGCAACTGAACTTTTTAACTAAAGAGTCAAAAAGTTATTAAATTAGCCAAAAAACCAACAACTCATACCAAAAAGTCAAAGATTTTCTTTTCTCTCTACTTTTTGCACATTTTTTCGTAAAAAGTCAAAAAGTTATCACAAACATACTAATTTTTTTTAGCTCATATTTTAACCAAATAATTAAAAAGTTACTAAATTCGCCTGTTCCTAAACGAGGCCTTAATATGAGAAAATTTAAAAAGTTTGTAAGATTTATCACGAGTCCCATTTAATTATCTAATCTATTTATT